TGCTCGCAGAAGCGGTCGCGAAGAAGTAGAAAAAACGTCAGCAGCCGTCATATCGCTGCCCGGCAGATTTATGATCGCCTGTCCTTGTTCACCGTTCTCCTGTCGTCCGACGAGAGAGAAAGGAAACTTGGCCGGTATTAATATTTCCATAACAATATTGCGTGTCCGTCAACAGGTCTGGATTCCGCGGTCTCCCTTTATAGTAGCCGATGCTCATCCATTATCAACGTCCGTTCGTCCGTCTGTTCGTTCTCAAACAGACAGAGCGCGGACGGGAATGAAACAGAAGAAATAACCAAATATCATAAGGACATTTGCATGCCCAGACGCTTGTCTACGCTGACAGATTTATTGGATAACTTCCGCGGAAAGTCATGCTGCATCTCCGGTATTAAAATCTTTTATTGTAACGTCAACGGTTAAATCGCTGGCTTGCATCTTCGCTCGACTCGATTTCCTTGCTTACTCGCACTCCTCACGCGCTATACTATGTCGATTCATACTCGAACGTAGCATTTCGCTCACTACGTCGCTACTGTTGCTACTTTAGACTACTGCAGTTATTTGGATACTTATCAATAATACAACAGGGAATTGCAAAAACAAGAAGTATCTCGAAACAAATTACTAGCAAGAAAATTAAAATTGAAAACTTTTTTTGTCGCATGAGCCATCCATTTAGGGTTGCCACCCGTACTTTATTATAAAGTATTGTACTCTATTTCGACTGTGCGTACGTTATACTTTACAAGACACATAAAGTACGCAAAAATACTTTATTTAAGGCCTTAAGTAAACATCGTAATTTTGTAAGCGATTATTCGAAATTCAGAGTACTTTTACATCAATAATATTGCACAGAAAAATGGCAAGCCATATTTACGGAACAACCTGATTTCCCAAATCTGTTCAAAGTAGTGTCACTTTTGCTGTCCGTTCCGGCCACTTCAGCATTTACAGAAAGAGTATTCTCTGTTATGAACGCAAAGTGGCGGGACGACAGGAATAAAGTTTCATTAAAACTAATGAAAAATGAACTTTTAGTTTACTTAAATCTTTGTTTACCATGTTTAGAGGCTATTAATGTATTTAAGAGCGACAGTGTTAGTTTGTTAGTGGCTGCTAGGTGTAACAAAAAATATGTTTTTAAAAACAAAAAATAAAATACTTTATTTTTATGCTGAGTACTTTTTTTTGAACCTTTTAGTCGAGAAATACTTTATGTAAAGCCTGCAAAGGTGGCAACCCTAGTCGCTACTGTTGCTACTTTAGACTACTGCAGTTATTTGGATACCTATCAATAATACAACAGGGAATCGCAAATAAAAAAAAATATTAAAATTTTAAAATAATTTGTTTGGACTCCTTCCCCATCCTTATCACAATTCACCCCTTTAGGAAGTTGTCCTGATCGCCCAAAATAGAAATTACGAGTAGGTATATAGTAAATATTTAAACCTTCAACCTTTACTAATTTGAAGTCGCTCACAACAAATATTCCTTAAATAAAGAGCAACAAATATTTTGTTAAATGTTCGTCAACGATTCATTAGAAAAGCCATTAAAACCATTGAAAACAAAGAAACAATTTTCGAATTATAAAATAACTCATAGAAAATAAAATTGCTTTTACAATGCATGACACATGACATGTTCTTTTTTATGAAAATCATAATTTATGTGGACGTTATTTTTTACAATTATATGTGACGTTTTTAAATGTCGAATGTAAAAATCCGTTTAAGTAAGAGATTCTTTTGAAAGATAATTCGTCTATTTCAGAACAGTTTTATGGCCTCTCAAGCCAGAGTTCAGAATTTCTTCCCTGTCTCATTCGTAACATAACAAAAATATAGCGTCTACGAACCCCAAAATGCTTTTGTTTTGAAGATAAATTTCAACAACTGTCGGAGAAAATTACTTAAATCTAATAATAGCGATCGTTCTCGTCAAAATGGTACAATTGAACAGGAAACCCTTATTTCAGGGGTGCCACGAAATGTCTACCAAAATAGATCATTAAGTCATTTTAGCATAACAATAGTGGGTATATTAATGAATGTTTTCGTTTAACACTTTACCATTTTATGTAATTAAACAAAAGTTTAAGTTATCTTAACCGTGAATGTTTACCTAGAACATATTGTTAGTAACACTTATTTTTAGTTACATACGCAGAAAAAACAAAATTATTGTCACATATCTGACTAATTTCAAAGAGAATTAAAAATTTCTATTTTTCTGACTTTTTCGTTTGATGTAGCTTTGCGAATTTCCTTCATGTCAAAATTTCAAATTTTACTGGATTATGCTAGAAGCATGAATCTTTTACAACAGTACTGGAACAAACAGTTTATTAATAATGTTTCATATTAAATTCAACTTGATACCTACTAATAGCTCTTCCTAATAAGACAAGGAGAAGAAAGGACAATTACTCGGTGGTGCAAGGGTTCTGTTTCCGTATTGTCAGTTACATGAAACCCTAAAAAACAGCAAATAATACCTATATTAACCAGAAAGAGAATTCCGCAAATAATCTGGAGTGTGCGCTCTTTGTATAAAACACTATCTACAGACTAAGTACCTACTCTTTGAAAACTTGGTAATGGTAGAAAAGGAGAATGAGTTTTGCCGGTAACATGAAGTTTGCAATTAGGGTTTTTTTGTATCAGTCTTCAAAGTAAAACGGTGGTAAATGCACTTATCTATGTGTGTGGGTAGGCAATTATAGGTAAAACATACGCGCTTAGCACATAAACATAGTTTAATCTGACAGGAACATAATGTGCATTTAGAGAAGTCACAAAAACAGGATTGTACTTTGCACGATTTACGTCAAAAGTCCACTTACAGACGGGCGCACGACCAGAGAAGAAAATTCTTCTTCCAAGAGAATTACTGAAAATAAAAATTTTGAAAATCAACTTCTAAAACGAATATCCTTATTGTTTAATCCCTAAAATAATATTTTTTTGTGTAATTTATGCTGTAAATAAACTGAGTTGCGTGACCAATAGCGGTATGACCTAGAGGCATACATTTAATTTTTAGATCACCGGTTCAATTTCGGATCTGCCTGTCCTGGTCCAAGTTTCTCCGCGATTTTCTGGGGCAGTATATAATAATAGTCAGCAGATAATATTTCATTTCTATTCTGTCTTCAATTCACGTCCGACTCATCGTTCTCACTTCAACTATTCAACCACCATGATTCCTAAAAGGACATTACAAGGAGCCTTCCGCCTTACTCCCCAGTGTATTTCTGAAGGACTGTCCGCTCACCAACACTAGCAACTGGTGGGAAAGAAAAATCCCAAAAAGATTATCCGAAAGTATTAGCGAATTTTTGACTTTATCTTACTCTACAAAGCCAAATTGCTTAAATTCTAAGCTGACTTGTACTAGACGTAGTGCCTGCTATGAAGTTGCCATCAATTGACTAATTTATATTCTTAGATTCATCCATAAAAGGATTTTTAAGTTTTTGGTACAATAAAACTCTTCTTAAAAAATGAAAACAAAACTTTTTCATTTATGGTGGAGGTGCTCGACACGAATTATTTAAAATTATGACAAGAAACCCATCCTTAGGATCTATAAAAATTACTACTAATACTATTTCCGATGATCCAAACGCTTAAGGGGGAAATATCAACTGAATCCTCAATCTTCATTTATTGAAAGTCTACAGATATATCTCATGTATTCCAAATAGATAATTCATGATTTGGAACATCTATCATAATTCGTCATTTCATTGTTTCTTAAAGCATATGACAAAATAGATATCATTATCATTTCGAGGGCTGTGCTTCATTACGTCGCGGTAGTATGCGTAATAAGAGTGGATCCAGTTCAATTTGCTTAATATATACAACGAACATCAAAAGACTTTGCTTACTCTGTCGTGCCAATACAAACACGAAGATCAATTTCAGTATGTAATAACGACTAGTAGAAATGCAAGTTGCGTCATCGCTTATAGTTATATGTAAACACAGGAGTGTGACTTCGACAATCTGGCGCGTCTCGTCCTCGTGCGAACGGCCCTCGGGACTGATAGCACGCTCCCTAAATAGTCTTGTATTAAGTCAGCACCCACTACCGCAAACCAGAAGGGTTGCTTTTAGTCGGTCCATACTGAATCCATGACTGACACATTCTAGTATTCATAACAGTAAGCCACGGTGAATTTATTTGATAAACTTTTATTAGGTGCAAATGGAATCCTTACATTCGTGTGACTTTTAAGCTTTGGGGATTCCGTCATAGGAGAGTCGTCTTAATTCACTATTTATGAGGGTCAGATACGAAACAAAAATCTCTTCAAGTTGAAGAAGCTTTCTGAAGCAATTCGTAAGCAAAATGAACACAATAAGAGAAATTATTGTGATGGGACCACCTCCCTGTTTTCGTGACTCGTAACGCAATCCAAATCATCATCATCATCATCGTCGTGATCATGATCGCCTCCCAAGCAATATCTTTGACGGTTGATAGTTGCGTTAATCCGTGTCAGAATAACATTAAGATACTCCACTAATATCATCAGTGATTTATGAATTGAATAGGTAAAACACTACGGATGAAGAGAGAAAGAGACGGATAAATGAGAGAGAAAGAGAGACCCTTCCCTTCGCGCCAGGTGAGTAAGAGGCGGGACCTGGGCAGGTCCGTGGTGAGCGTCACTTAGTCAAATGCCGCACGGCAATCCGGACGTTCAAGAAAGACACTCAGTGAGTCAGTTAGTCTGTCCATCACTCGGGTCCTGTCGATACAGTCATTCGCCCACGCGTTGCACTTAGAGACCTACGCATCTCTCAGTCTGTCGCTGAACGAAATAATAAAGGTCCCCGTTAGGACCCCTGTGGCACACACTATTCTTCATGCGCGCGTGATCCTTTCGAGCTATGATAGAGAATCATAATCAAGACTCTATGTCATATCATTATTAATAGGTGGTGGATGAATCCTGTATGATAAGGGATTTGAGGAGCATCAGCAGCAGGAGTAAATAGAAAGAAGAGCCAGAGCAGCAGGAGCTGCTTGCTTGGTGCAAGTGATGCCGATGCGCGAGTGAATCCGACTCGGTCCGAGGGTAGCGACGACGCCGCCCAGCGCCGGCCCCCCACCAGTCGGCGGCAGCGCCGTCGGACAGACAGCATCTCGGCGTCGAAGTGCTCGCACGCGCCCAACCAATCGCGGCATTTCCTCCTCATAAGACATGAGACCAGAACATCATCATAATCATCATCATTACAATCGTATCCGTCATAATAATAACGTGGACGTCGTCAGCGTCTTCGTCTGAGCGTCGTCGTCGTGACCAACGAACGTGGTGCACGGTGCACTCACCATGTGTACAGTAACAGTTTCTAGTTCTTTTTGTTAATAAAAAAATCGGCTTCATCGTCGGTGAACTACTGTTGTGAGTGGACTTGTGTAGTGGTGTAAGTCATGTCACGGCGCAAACAAGCCAGACCCATTCGACTCCTGGAGGACGAAGAGACGACGGCCTCTGGAGCGGCCGGAACCGCAGGAGTACTCGGTAAGTCGTTTGAGACCTCAAACATCCATGAGACACTATCTCCACGAGCACCATCAGAAAAATCACACAATATTCATTGTTAGGGACATTTGAAAGGAAGCCCATCGTATCCAAGATTTCTAAAGGATACTTCTAGATTGGTCGGAAAAACTTGACCCAGTCTTGGAAAATTTTCCTCAACTCTTGTCATAAACTTGGGGAAAACAATTTCAATGTTCGTTGGTTCACTTCTCAAAATTATGAAAATGGGAAAATTCAGCCATTTCCTTTAATTTTCCATGGAAAACCAGAAGAAAATCAATCACATCAAACTATACTTTCAAGCCTTTATTAGTATGATGGATATGAGTGTCTTAATCTGGCACTTTTTCTTTAAATAAGAAGTCTGATGAAATAAAAGTATTTCAATCGAGAATTTCTTCATCAACATTTTCCTCAAAATTGAAGTAGACAACTGTCAAATCTGAAGCAAATACCCTTCTCTGGTATGTTTTTCAAAACAGTAAAATCGGTGGCATTTAGAATTCTAAAGGTTATTTATTATATGTTAAATTACTTTCACTGGTCAATCCTCTTCCTTTTTCACCAATGGATTAAGTGAGATTGAGAAAATTCCATAAATGTAAGCTTTGATTACATGCATTTATTCCTAGTTCTGTCTTGTTTTCAAACATTTTATTCCCAAAAACTGTTTTTTAAAGAACTTATTGGCATGTCTCAATTTATTACCAATTTTTACCTAACTTTATATGATAAGTTAATTTCTGCTCAAACTCAAACCTGTTTCGCAAGATATTTTGGACAATTAATTTCTTATTCCGTACATTTCCTAAACTTTTCTTCATCGTTTGTCATTAAACTTACACACATTGCCGATTACTTCTCGAGCATAAACCTGTTTCCACATTCTTAAACGATGCTGTTCATAAATATCAAATTTTATGAAGTGCAGTGGTACCATAATATTCTTCAAAACCAGAAGTAATATAATACCTCGGCCGCGATGCTAGATAGGACCTAAAGAATTGAACGGACTGTTAGGCAGGCACGGTACCACGTATACTAACACGTTGAAACATCTTCTACAATAAGAAAGACGTCGAACAATTAAATTATTTACAATCGACACGATACATTTATCATAACCAAATGGAAAGGTTACTCTATCGTAAAACAGAAAATGAGTAAAGATTAGATAAAGTTACCTGCATCTTTACATACTTATACTTGTAAGCAATCTTAGTAATAAGTTTTACATTAACAGACGGAAATAAAATTTCTCTTGGCGACGGCAAGTATGATCCGTAACTTAATCGTTTAATAAAGTTGAAGGATGTTTCTACGTTTCGATAATGTTCCGTTTACCCTGGAAAATACTCGGGAATACTCATTATATGTCATTCTGTTCTTCGTTCCGAGTGTGTGCTGTAGACTGTCAGAAATTGCGGCCGAAAATAGAACGGAGAAATGTCAATGGATCAACAACTTGTAACCGTTGTTCTTGTTGCTTTTAACGTTACGGGTGTTGAAACATTGATTAATATTTTATTTAAACGACACAAGTGGGCGCTATTCGAAACAAAAGAACACTTAAACAATGTTCTACGAAATTATCTAATTGTTTGTCGTGCAATTCGAGACTTAATGAATTACAAAGTGATTAGGTTTATATGCATTAATTTCTTAACTAAACCCATTGATGGATTGATGGATATCAGAAATAACATGGACGTTATTTGATATTTTTTTGAGGCACTACCTAATTTATTAAACTGTAAGCGAGCCAGACTTTACTTTTAGGTCATTCCCTTTTTTGAGAAACTGGCTTTTATGATAATGTGGTTTTTAGGCGCTCTTTTTTAACGTTAAAAATAAGAAGTATGTTTTGTTGTAGTAACGAACCTTGGCAAATTTTGCAATATTAGGCAGAGACTTTCAATTAACAAGGTTCATTACGTGTTTTCAACTATTAATCATTACACGGGCAAGTATACCTACTAATCATCGCTTTTATAAGCTGTTTATTTGGAATCGTTAGAGGCTGTATTTCTTTTATAGTTTTATTACTCACCATCCATTGTTAGATGATCATAAAAATGCAATAAAATAAATAGGTGCATAATTGCTTTTATTGCTCGAAAATTTCGTTTTTTTTTTTCTTTGGACATTGGTTTTTAAAATTTTATTAGTTTATGATTTACATTAGCCGTTAATTTTTTTGTCTCATATCATACACAAACATACAGCTACACAAAATGGACCCATTTTTATGGAAACGAAAAATAATTAAGTTGAAAGTATCTAAAGTGAGTAACACGATTGGTACCAATTAAGAAAATTAAAATGTTATGCTGTATTTCTGTTCTTCGTGCCTATAAACCATAAATAAAATCTACTTTGAGAACGCAAAGACGTTTTGTTTCCAACCGGAGCTACTTTTTTTACAACAATTCAAATTATACATATAATAATTAAAATTAAAAACACAAAAAATTTGAAGTAGAATTACGTTAGATAATTACCTATAAGCATTTTCACAGAATATCCACTCGTTATTATTATTATTAAAAACATTGTTGTAGTACCTATCACTTTTACAATGGTTTCTAATAAAAAACCAAACTGGATCTGAACCAAATCCTAATTATGTAGTGATATTAAAATATAGATTTCTGATGAATTTTTGATTTATTATCGATTTAAGGTTTCTTCCTTAAAAAAACATACTTAGAAGGCACGGCTGACCAACTAAATTTTTTATCTAGTACAGTGTAAACTCTGTATAACGACACTTAAGGGAATGAACATTTTTCGGTGTTATAAAGAGTGGTCGTTAAATGGAGAGAAATAAAAGATATTATTTTACTATTCTATAATAATATGCATTTACCTATATAGTACACATTTTGCACACGAACATTATTATTCATACATTGCGTATAGCTTGTTATCTTCGTCTGATGTTTTTTGCTGCTCCAATATTTTAATTGTATTTTGTTACGTATCTTACTCAGATCTTGAGATACTGCTGGATCAATTTGATTATATAAAAAGTATTTTTTTAATAGTTTCGCTGCATCAAGTGCTTGTTTGATGCTTGGTGGAGGGACAGGATCGTCTTCTTCAACAACGTACACAGCTGCAGTTCTTATCTATTTCGGCAACTTAGAAAGTACTGCTTAATGATTTATAATGCCGCATTTTTGTCGTTAAATAGAGTGAGCGTGACGCTATATAGAGTGTAATATTGTATAGAAAACAATGTAAACCAACCAGTCAAGCAATTTCGACGTTTTAAGGAGTTTGTCGTTAAATCGAGTGACGTTATAAAGAGTTTACACTGTATTTTATTAAACATTATTAGACTAATTAGTTACTAGGTAACAGTTTAGTTTAATATTTTCTCTTTAAAGATAGGAATCTGAGGAAATGAGGTGGTAGAGTTTAAAGGATTCCATAAATATCTTATGAAATCGTTGCATCAAGAGGATACACCACTGTATTATTTAAAAGATGGCCAGTAGTCAGCATCAGTGATTGGTAATGAATGTTAAGAAATATTAAATTTGTATTTCCCCCTTGCTCATTATAAGTTCTTAAAGGTAAGAATTCCGTCCGATACGAATTAGTTTCTGTCTCTGAAGCTCGGCGAATTTTTCGATTTTTAGCAATTGAAAATAAAAAATTGTCTCAATCAAACCCACTTACAATAATTGTTTTATTCATGGGCCTATAATTAGATCCTGGCAGTGGTCATGGTTCAGTCAGTAATAAGTCGGAGCGGCGGTTCAACAATTCCAAATATTACAGGATCATAAATATGCTTCACTTTCGTCACCGGGCACAAAAACTGACGTCATAGTCGTCTCCTCGGTCTCGACATCGTCGAAATTGTTAATATTATCCTGTCATAAAGTCCGCTTAATTTGTTCTTATGATAGCAATTTATCCGGAGTTATTCAAGCAGAGCTCGCGAGGCATTTCCAGAGTGAGCAAGTGGACGATATCAAAGATGCCGCCACGATCTGCTCCCGCTGAACAATTTTTATTGAAACGTCGCATTACAAGGAAGTGCAAGATGCACCTGAACTTGCTGTATTGAAACTGAGATATTGTTAGATAAACGCATTTCGTTGTGTTGGATGGCAACAGAAACAACAAAAATGTCAGGAAATCCTGAAATTGAAAATCCTGGGAATCCATTAGTGCTAAATGAATAAACTAACATTTAAATGCCTTTACAAGTGTTTCAAATAATTCATTTTTGAAGCACAGGACGACTAGTTTCACGACTTATTGGAAGATTTTAAGACAATTTCCAAGTTCTTCCTTACCAGCAAACTATTAATCAATGACAAAGTAAATAGATGAGATGATACGTTCTGCCTTCATTCATGAATTGAGAGCGATATCCACAATCCGAACCAATGCATTTTACTATTAGTATAAAAATCCATTATTTGTCTAGTCTACTATTAAATGTATCTAAAGTTGTGTTATATGTACCATAAATATTTATATGCAATGCAATACCAAGTCAGTATAAGTAAAAATATTGTTGAGCTATTAATTATGTCGTACCAACAATACGATAAAAATTCCTTTCAATCATAAAATTTGAAAAGATCAAGGTTTCACTGACAATATATTTTATAAATAACTAACTTTGTAAGTTATATGTTGTATATTCTAGGCAATTGCCCTCGAATTCTGTAGTAGATTTACTCAACTGATACAAAAATTGATACAACGTTGTGAAATCGTTCTTTTTTCTTATTTAAAATAAACTTATTTTACTTAACCTCACTTTATTTAACCCTACTTGACCTTTGTCATTTAATGTTTCTAACACATGTCAAAATGAAATACTACCAACTAAAGATTGTATATTGCAAGGGGTAATTAGAGACACATTAGAAGCAGAAACAGGAGTTACGAGGAGTAGAGGTGGATCTAGTTAAGGATGTGCGATGTTGTAGTTTTAAGGAAATGCGAAGATA